TTCTAAATCATAACTAATATATGTGGCAAGATATTTGCAGAATAAGGTAAGCTCAAAGTCTTCCTGTCCAGTTAAAACTCTGAGTATATAAGAATTCTTTCTCTGGGAATTAAGAGAGGGGTTATCTCATTCTAGAGGTTCTGATGACCTACTCTGAACTGGTAAGAAAGAGGCATGGTATGATGGTATGTAAGTGAGACAGAGAAAGAGAGAGAGAGAGAGAGAAAGAGAGAGAGAGAGAGAGAGAAAAAGAGAGAGAGAGAGAGAGAGAATTTATGCAAGCCACAAAGAACAGTTGTTGGGAGGATTTTCCACCCTAGCAGCCTACTTCACATCTCCCTTGTGCAGCACTGAGATCTGGAGAGGCAACTGCATGCAGGGACTAGGCATCTCAGTTTGACTTGTGGTGCTGCCCTACAGCTGAGTGTTGGGTGGCCATTGACATTGTGTCCAAGTTTCCTAGTAGGTCACTGAGGGTTGCTGAGAAGACAAAATGAGATAATAGATGGGAAGCATGCAGAGTAACAGCCAACAGTGTGGAGCCCCTGGCACATAATACATGCTCAATAAATGCTAATTATTATTATTGCTTTAAAACTTGTGTGTTTGAAACAAAGGCTGAAGGTTAGTGAACCTTTCAATATGGATAAACCCATTACAGGCTAATGAGCTGTAGACAGACTTGGGAGCAGGGAGGCAGGAGCAGGAGCTGGAGGCCCCTCTCAGGAGCTGTTTCAGTGGCTGAGTTACCTCCAGGTGGGTAGGAGGCTCCAGCTCGGACAGAGGCTCACAGCAACCACACAGCCTTTGCTTTGGTGCTTGCTCACGTTCCATGTGTAGCAGCAGAGAAAAGGAAGTCTGTTTCATTCCATGTGATTGAGTAAAGGGTTTTTGCCGAGCAGTGTTGTGGGCTGAACTGTGTTCCCCCAAAATTCAGATGTTGAAGTCCTAACCTCCAGTACCCCAGAATGTGACTGTATTTGGAGACAGGGCTTTAAAAGAAGTAATTCCTTTAAAATGAGGCTATTCGGGATGACCCTGATCCAGTCTGACTTGTGTCCTTGTAAGAAGAGGAGATGAAAACAGACACACAGAGAGAAGACCATGTGAAGACACAGGGAGAAGACGGCTATCTGCAAGCCAAGGAGAGAGGTCCCAGAAGAAACCAACCCTGCTGACACCTTGATCTTGGACTTCCAGCCTCCAGAACTGTGAGGAAGTAAATATCTGTTGTTTAAACCACTCAGTCTGTGGTACTTGGTTATAGCAGCCCTAGCAAATTAATACAGGTAGCTACTAAATTCCCCCTGGGTGATAATATTTCTGGGGAGGATGTTGGGAGTTGATTGAAGCAGTATAGTATAATGAATAAGTTCTCAGGCTAGCTTTTAAACCCTGGCTCTACTACCCACTAATTTTGTGACTTGCACATTGTGCTTAACCATTTTAGTTTGCATTTTCCTCCTATGTAAAGGGAGAATAAACTACTTCATAAGGTTGTTATAAGGCTTAAACGAGGCATTTGTGTAAGGTTGATCACTGTGCCTGACACATGGTAAGCACTCAATAAATGACATTTATTGTTAAGATGAGGTGAAATATCAATTAAGAAGGTTGTTTGGTTATAAATTGTGCACATTGATTATCAGTCAAATAATATTTGCTTATCCACAAGCTTGGAAAAAAATGGGCTCTTTACAGATTTAGAAACATTTCTTGCTGACATTCCAAGGAGTGTGGAATGAAAGTATAACAAGGATGTCTTTGAAAGTGCAAAGTAACCAAAGAATGTGGTACAGACACTTTCTGGTTTTGGTACAGAAAGGAATAGCATTGTTAGGACTCTTCCCCGGCCACACTTATTTGTAGGGGGCACTGTGTGGTGGAAGAATGGCTTGCCTTTAAATAAGGAATTGTTTAATTAGATAGGTTTATCTTGGAGCATATAAAGCAGTGTTGCTAAGAAAAACATTCCAGGCCTGGACAGTTGCCTGCACCTCACTGGTGAGCCACTGGCAAGCCACTGTAGTAGGGGTGATCATTCTGGACTATTAATATTTGCTGTTTGTTAAAAATAGCCTGTTTGCATCTCTTCATTAGAAGGAAGGCAACGTTTTTAGCTCCTGGCACAGTACATTTTTACATTGGAAGAATATGAAGGCCATGGAACAGAAATCCCTGAATAATGCCTTTTTAGAAGCACATTAGAATAGAAAGATTTAAGACATATTTGAAAATTGCAGCACAGTTTGATTGTGGTTGGGTGGAATAAGAAACCAAATACTTGGGTATGTGTTTTATTTGCTTGCAGTGACTTTGAAATCTTGCAAGAGTTGTGGAAATTGAGCTCTTGCTGAATCTGTGATGTGAGTCTTGCTTGTGTTGAGGAGTCTGATCAAAACAGCTGTGCTCTACTGTTTCCTTATGCATAAGGGCCCACACAGTACTGTCATTGTGGGGAGCATATTGTGGGATGTCACAAATGAAAGTGCAGCTTTCTTTGCTGCTGTGAAAGAAGTGGATCAGTAGAAAAGTAAAAACTTTGCACACGTTCCTTTTAAATGTGGAGTTTATTAAAGAGCATCATGGCATATATTTCAATTCTCTTTGGCCACCTGCCTTATTACTCTTGATATTTTGCTGCCTCTAAAAAGTATGTTTTTCTTTAAGATGAGATTTTTCTTTTTACATGTAGACCTCTTCCTAACTGCTCCCTAGGCTTTATTTGTAGTAGGTGCTAATAAATGCAACCCTGAGGATAGAGCAAGTAGAATTAAATAAGGATATCTTTCTGGGGGAAGAAGAGTTGGATACCAGCCAGAAGCATTATGAGTTTCTTAGAGTATCCCAGTTGTGTGTATGTGAGTATATGGGAAATTCCACATGGAATTTTATGATTCCAAATTGAGAAAAAAATTTACAAAAAAATTTGCCTAGATTCCATCCTAATATAATAGCTATATATTCAGTTTTATATGTTATCTTGGCCTTTTTCTATATGCCACTGTTTTTTTTCTTCTAGCATAGTTGTAAATATACATACCATTTTATACTTTTTCTATTAGTTACAGCGAATGCTTTTCATTTCATTACAGGTGCTTTAGAATGCCCATTTTTAATAATGCCATACTGTTCTATTGAGTGGGTTCACCACTGATTACTATCCCTCTATTTTCCTCTACTTAAGTTGCTTTTACTTCATTTTGTTTTGCAAATGATGCCTCAACATTTTTTTACAACATTTAGCTTTCTATCATCCAATGAATAAATTTCCAAGAGTCAGTCAAAAGTTACAGCTTGTAGAAAACACTACCATATTACTTTAGAAAAGGATGGTAATGCAGGTGCATTCTTCGGTTGTTTCATGGGTTGACCAGTATCTTTACTAGTGTTGAACTTTAGATTCCTCCTTCTTTTCGGTACTAGAAATAATGCTGAGGTGAATATTTTTCATGCAAATTTTTGTGCATATTTCCAATAGTGGCAATAATGATGGGTTTAAAATTTACAGCCACAGACACACTATGCCAAAAATGTAACTTTTTAGTTTCTCCTTACTAAATTTAACGTGGCTTTCAAGCTACATTGCCATTTTGGGGCAACTCACTTCCAGTGTGAGACTGGTTACGTAAAAGGGTTGTCACCTCTTCACCCGGGGCTGATCTAAGGCCTGAGGAGTTTACAGACCTTCCTGGCCTTGGGGAGGGCATCTGGTCCTGCCGTGGGGGCTGTGCTGGCCTCTGCTCAGGTGGAGCTTATCCTTGTGGTTTTGGTCGTGGCCTCTTGAGGCTGGATCTGCTGCCCCTGCAGCCCCTTCCATGGCTCAGGGTGGCAGGTTCACACTCAATGTTTTCCTCCCTCCAATTGCATGACCTTTTCAGGTCTGACAGCTCTCATCCTGCCTCTCTGCTCTTGCCAGAGCCTGTGAGGGGGCCCGTGGGGGGGCCTATAGGTGCCTCAGGTCTGTGTACTTCGTCATCCACTCAGCCTCCTAGAAGCATGCTGCCCTGCAGGGCTGGCCGCCTCCCGTAGCCATGCTCTGAGAAGCCAGGCAACCATCTCAGCTACTGGGATACCTTCATCATTCCTCCACACGTCCCTAGGGATCCCATCAGTTTCTGTAGTCATTGCTCCCAACCCTGTACCCGCATATCGAAGTTCTGTCTCCACTGAAACTGGGGACACCTCTTCTTCAGACTGCTGACCAAACTTTTTATCTCCTATTAAATTAAAATACAGACAAGTAGCCCTTTCATCATTCAGAGTTTTTCTTCCTTCCATAATTATGGAAACTCTTTGTGTTAATTTCTTCAGCTTTGCTTTTGATTTAGGAAGACAAGCTTTTAGAACTAAACAGAAAAAAATCTGTCTCCAATTTCTGGAAACTGCTTTGACTTTCAGATTTGTCTGTGCTTTAGGTTTACAAAATTCTACTTAGGAGCTGGAAAACCCAGAGACAGACCCTTGATCCTAAGCTGTGTTGCTTCTCCCTTCGGAAGAAAGGACACAGGAGACTTTGCTGTCTGAATGTTGGGTGGGAGAGGGAAGCTGTACAAGGCAGGTAGGGAGGAGTCAGGGAACAGCATATGATCAATTTGGAGAAAGATTTGATTTCTTAAGTCCCAAACCAGGAACTCTTTTGCCAAATGTTACATCTCTAAATGGACACATTTTTTCCTCTGGGTAGTTCTGGACATAAGAAAAGAGACCCGGCAATCAGACCTCAGTGCTTTGGCCCTTTACCTAAGAGCCCCTGCTTGTGGGTGGGAAAGCACTCTTGCTGGTGTTAAAGGGTTGGAGAAGGAACTGCTGGGTTTGTCACTTCTAATATGATATGGGCCAACGGTTATCCCTTCCATCTTTTACACCTCTTCCAAACAGATGCTCTGCTGGGGACCAAATCTAAGTCTGCGATGCATCTTGATGTGGAATGTGATAAAATGAGAGCAAATTCACACACGGGTGAAACAGTAAATGTTTCTGTTCCCTTTCCCCTGCAGGTGAATTTCGTGGCTTGCCAGCTGTTTGCTTTGTTTGCTGCTTTCTGGTTTCGCATCTACTTAAGTCCTGGTAAATCCAGTTCTGATGTCCGGCATGCATTTGCCACCATTTTTGGCATCTACTTTGTTATCTTTTGTTTTGGCTGGTGAGTATGAGCCTCATAAATTCTAATATTTATCATTTGGATGTTTGGTGGCAATATTCTTGGCATTGCAGTAAGGTAAGAAATATATGGTATTGCAAAATACCATATTGCAAAATATGTATTGTAAAATTTTGTAATATTGTAAAATATTGTAAAAATCTTACCATAAAATAATGTGGATCACCAAGGGGCAGGAGGAATCTCTATATTTACCATAAGTACCTGGAATCAATAACTGACTATCCATTGGAAGTCAATGCAATGAATTTTTTCTTAAAATTAGTCTTCTACAGATCTGAACTCCCCACCCCTGCTTTGTAAATGGGATGCTATAGGTTTAATTTTTCCCAGCGAGGAACTTTTTGCTAATAATGGTAGCTATTGGTGTATTTCTTGCATTACTGCTAGAGACATAGCTGTTAGTCCTACATCTCGTCAGAACAGAACAATAGTTTCAGTGAAGGTCTTAGGGAATGTGAGTCATGCTATAGCAGAGAAAGCCCGTAGACTGGACTTAACCTATACTAGGTAAGCTGGGCAAATTCCCAGGGATTGGCACTTCTAGGGAAGAAGCTTTAGGAGCAACATTTCTAGAAGTACAAACTAAGAAAATTAGTGAATTTGTTCAAGGAATTGTACTAGAATACTGCTCCTTCTCCTCGAAGAAAAATTAGAGAAAGGATAAGTGTTTTAAATCAGCCACCAGGTAAAGGTCTTGGTATCTGGGGAAGCCCAGTTTTGGTACTGATACTTTAAAATGTAAAACAATAAAGTTCTGGAGAAAGAACTCTTCTCTCTGGACTCTAAATTGCATATATGAAAAATGTAGAAGCTTTCCATTTATGGATGCCTGATATTACTAGTGCTGCAGATGGCAGACTATGCCATGATTTTTTGGTGTCATTTCAAGATATAGCATATTAATTGCATAGAACAAAAATATTTGATTTATTTTCTCTCACATAAACATGGGGTAACTGATCACTTACTTCTTAGAGGGGGTGGAGGTAGGGTAGCAGTATGGGTGGCCAAAAGGTATGTTAATATGAAATACATTCCATGTCCCCTGCCATTATGTCTTAAAGGTACTCTGTGCATCTTTTTGTGCTGGTGTTATTGTGCTATGGAATCATGGTCACTGCAAGTGTATCCAATATTCACAGGTAAGACCTTGGGAATGAATAATGCAATAAGGTTTTTTGTGATCTTTGAAATGTATTTCCAGAGTAAAGATGCACCTTCCCCATTTGCCACAAGTGGAGTATCCTGAGTTCTCTAGGATATCACATGGAGGGATGGAGAGCCCTAAATGCTGGGAGTCTTCCTAGAAGGCTTTATGAAAAAGGTGGGATGTAAACTGGGCCTCAGGTGAGAGAGAGTATATCAGCATCAGGCAGCTCTCTTTGTGGTAGCCCCAAACTGCAAACAGCCCAAATGTTCACAATGGGATACTACTCAGCAAGAAAAAGGAACGAATGATTTATTTACACATGGCAATATTGTGGATGAATTGCAAAATAAAGATGCTGACTGAAGGAAGCCACACGAATTCTATTCTAGAAAATGCAAATGAATCTATAGTGACAGAAGATAGGAGGTTCCCGGGGGGTGACCTGGTGCAGGGAGATGTGGAAAGGATCACCAAGGGGCAGGAGGAAACTTTTTTGGGGTAAAGGATATGTCCATTATCTTGAATTCGATGATGGTTTCTCGGTGTTTACATATGCCAAAACTTATTAAACTGCATATTTTAAATACACGCAATAAAGCTGTTAAAAAGGAAGAAATATTTTTGGATGAAATATTATTTATGATGTTTTGATTTCATAGTACAGAAGTCATGTAATTCTACCTTGAAGGCTCCATGGTTGGATAATCAACCGGGATACCTGGGGTATCTGTTTTGCATTGTCTCTGTTTCCCATGGTCTTTCCGAACACTCAGTATTATCTCTGCATTTCAGGAACACTGGAATGTAAACTCTCTGGAAACAAAGACCTTTGTCTTGTTCATTGTTGTATCCTCTAAGCCTAGAACAATATCTGTTGTAAGTCAGGGCTCAATAAATATTTATNAAAAAAAAAAAATCCAAAGTTATTTCCTATCGGCTCAGGGAAAGCGTGCTAGCCAGGAAATCTGGGTCCTCCTAGCAGCGTGAGTTCGGACAAGTCATGCAGCTTCTCTGTACATCAGATTTCCTGCTTATAAAATGAGGAGTTTGTAGTAGTTTGAACGTAAGTTCTCTTCAAGACCGTGCTTTCATGATTCTTTGTAAATTGCTCTCCTTTCCCTCCACTGAGCCAGTAGTGAGAGTTCTGTCATATCTCTGGGAAGAGGAGGGGGAAGGTCAACATTTGCTGCCCTAGAGAATTAATCCGTTTCTGGACTGATTGCTGTTCAGGATTTGTTTAGAGAGTTCTTGGGAGTACCACCTCTGTGTCCTTCCCGAGCAGCGATGTTGGGCAGAAGTGACAGGCATCAGTTGACCTTATTATGTGAACCAACCGGAGGAGAACACAGTTCGTATCTCCTAGGATGGAGGCCTTATGTGAGAACTCAGTGATGTACTTATCAATTCTGGAATCTCCGCTTTGTGCCAAGTCCCAGGCCAAGCTCTTTTTAATATATCATATTTCATTATTTTTAATACATAAACTATTATTTAATATATCATTTAGTATATTATTTCATATTTCATTTCGTTATTTCAAATATATTCTTTCTAGGACAACTCTAAGGGCTATAATTTTTTTTNCCGTTGAGGACACAGGGGACCTAGCAGGGGTGCTGTATTTGAAATGGTCCTGAAAGAATCTGTCTTTTGAATCTGCCTTGAACCGGTTGGAGAAAGGGAGCAGGTGCTGGAGACAACAGGCCTTCCTCCATTCTGCCCTGACTTTGACTCTTAAGGGAGTTTTTTCTTAGTCATTTTGTTGACCATCTTCCTGGTTTGGAAAGGGTTCAGGATGAACCCAAGGAAGGGGGAAATTGTTTGTTTAGTAACTGTTTGCAGATAATGTTAGAGCACTTAAAATTATGCAGTGTTTTAGAGTTAAAGGAACTCCTTCACACTTGGTATCTGGCTATTCCTTGTTACTAAGTGAATTTTTATCCTCCCTGCTTTACTATTTCTTATTTCTTAGGTCAACGTAGTCTTCCTGAGTTATTTTAATGTGAATATGTGAATTTCAATATAATTTAATATCAGAATATACATCTTCCCTGTTTTATGACACATGTTTTAAAGTTACACCTTCTGAATTTGTGTCTGTATCTGATGGGCTACTAAACCAAAATGTGTGATGTGTTTATTTCAGTTCATTTCAACTGACAGTAATTGAACCCTCCCTATGTGTCAAGCAAAGGTTGGGATGCTCAAGGTTACAATGAGTTGGGGAAATAGACACACACATAAATAATTTTAATATTGTGGTTATGTATGTTAGCATGTAGTACTAGAGAAATACAGACAGTGGAGCATTGAATTGTGCTGGGGATGGGAGAGCAGGAGATAGGGTGGGCTAGATGGAGCAAGACTGAGCCAGGTGACATGGAAGAGATGACATTGGATCTGAGCCTTATCTGATAACTAGGCAGGTTCCAGATTGACTGTAGGATGGAGAATGGAGTTGTAGGCAGAGAAAGGAGAAGAAAGACATCTGGCCTGAAATACAGGATGTAGTTGTGGAATGTGTGCAGTCCAGTGTAGTTTAAACATAAGGTGGACATGGAGCATGGCTGGAGACGAGTCCAGAAAGGCAAAGTCGAACTCGGTGTGTGAAGCTCCTTGCACACTGTGCTCAGGAGTTTTGATTTGACTGGATAGTGGGATCCATTGGAGACATCTAACAAGAGAAGTATTCATGTAGTTGCTTCATTTGACACACAATAGTAGAGGGACAAGGGACACGGTGAACAAAACATACATGACCATCTTTGCCTTCATGGAGCTTACAGTTTGCTAAGAGAGACCGTAGTTAATCACATTGTCTTAGCTCAGGCTGCTATAACAAAGTGCCATAGACTGTGTGGCTTAAAACAACAGAAATTTACTTCTTAGTTCTGGAGGCTGGAAGTCCAAGATCAGGGTGCCCATATGTTGTGGTGAGGGCCCCCTTCTGGGTTGCAGACTGCCACCTTCCTGTGTCCTCATGTGACAGAGAGAGAGTGAGGGAGTTCTCTGGGGTCTCTTTTATAAGGGTGCTAATCCCAGTCATGAGGGCTTCACCCTTATGACCTAATTATCTCCCAAAGGACCACCTCCTGACAACGTCACATTGGGGGTTAGGATTTCAACATATGAATTTTGGGGAGACATAAACATTCAGTCCATTGCACAGATTATGACATATATTTATAATTATAAATTGATGAATGTTATAAATGACAGGAGTACTTATATAAGGACACATGTGTTGCTAGTCTTTAC